ATGCTTCATTTCATTGATCGTTTTCATTGGTCTGCTTCTCCTGTCTTCATGTTGAACCTAATTATATTATCATTTAATTGTATTATAAAAAAATTGTGTTTATTGTTTAACCCAATTAAAAATCAAAATAAAATAATATCCATTTTAAAACTTTGAACTTAAAAGGTTTGTAAAAAAATTGTACATAAACCACATAAGGAATATTGTATTAAATTACATGCCTATGTTAAACAAATTAAAAACTGTATATATATATTATTTAACTGCACAAAATAATTCATAATATATTTCCGTGATTTTGAACACTTGAAAATATTAAACTTAAAACGCCCATAAAAAATTGTGATTATTTATTTTTGATAATCTTAAATTTAGATAGGAAATGAACAACTATTGATTATTGAGTAACCTTGTATTTTATTTTCATTCATTTTTTACTTAAAAACTAAAATTTAACATTACTTACATATGAGTATAGATTAAAAAAAATCAAAAAATTTAAATGTCAATAAATGGCAAACAAAGCGTCAATATATCTTGAAAATTATACTGAGTGTAAAAAATGCTAATATAAATATTGGTAAATAATTCAAGTTTCTACAGTTATTATTTTTTAAATAAATTACAATAACAAATTTGCAGAAAACTGGTTTTGCGTTAGAATTCCCGTTTTTTCTCATTTTTTGAAAAGTAATGTGTTATATTTGACCTAACACTCTCGTACCTCCTTCTACTTACCAGCTAGATCCAATTTTCTACCAGAAACCTCCCTCAAAGTTCATAGCATTTTAACTGGTTGAAAAATTAATTGTAGAAACGAAAATAAACACACAATATTGTAAAACCAATCGCTTCAGTATATTGATTTGATTGAATATAACTTTTTTATGGGTTAATATTAGTTACTAAATATATTAGGTATACCAATTTATTGACGAATGGATACAACTATTGATACATTTTTAAGTTGCAAACAAAAAATTGTTGTAAGACTCCTTGTAATGTTAAGCATTAGGCTCTGAAGTAAAATGGTAAAAAATGTGCACCTATAAAAGTTGTATTCATTTTTGGAGTCTGAAGAAATGTGTACACCAAATGTGTTCTCACAAATCAAAAGTAAAAATATCGTTTTCTGTTCAAACGTTTGCCAACTAAACAATATAACTAGTACGAGTACACTACGCTATATTATTTTTGATGAAAATCCGAAAATAAATCGTATTGATGTGTATGAATAATGCAACTGGCAGTATTCTTAATTTAAAAAAAATCACGTGTTCCCGTATCTATAAATGCCTGTGGTTTGGTAATTAAAAAACATGTAGACATAAATATGGATATGTACTATGTAGACAATAGTCATAATGTATCATTACTATATCATCATATTACACAAAGAAAATCGATTACGGTATCTAATTACTTTATTTTAACAATTCATTCTTGCGCCCCGTAATATCAATAAGTAGTCGTTATTATGTGTAAGTGAAAAAAAAATGTGTAAGAATTAAGGATCAGGTAAATGTGCCTACTCTTATTTCATTATTATGATTTCAATATAATAAATTAATGTTTTTTGATATTTATTCGTCGTGTAATTTTGGCAGGTTTAGACATTAGCAATTAAAAAAATTAATTACATTTACAAATCGTGGCCAGTGGGCAATGGGTATAAAGGTTTAGGTATGCACTACGTCGTACAGTTTCTCTGCTCAACTATATACCAGTCTAGGGGACGGTCGACATATAAATGCTGCAGGAAAACTGACCCTTAAATTTATAACAAGACATTAGACTGGTTTTTATAATTTTCAATATCATTGTCTGAAACACTGTTGATGAAAATGAAGTACTGACACAGGTTTCTACAATATATGTGTACAGTTAATGACGGACAATCGTGATTCTATAGTTATTTTGGTGATAAATCCGGTTTTTTTAACTTTTAACAGATATCTTAATACCTAATATCGTTTGTTATGAATTCTAGTATTTATAATCAATGATTTTAAGTGTGTCTAGCATAATCAACATTTTTAAATAAAATATTTACAAGTGTTATAGATGATATAATAAATAATAACCACTTATATAAATGCAATAATATTAGAAATATAGTAGTAAACACATCTACAATTTAGAGTTTATACTATTAGAAGTGTTTTGCTATTAACATTTTTTGCTAAATATTATGTCGATTCACGTTCATTATTGAATTATTTTATACAGAAAAAGTGAAATTTCGCTTAAATTAAATACAGCTGATCACCGTTGTAATCACCTAACCAAATTATTATTTATTTAATTATAAAATAATAGCATTAAATTCTTTATATTTCATATTTATCAATTAAAGTATTCTGAAATAATTAGATTTTTATTACGTTTCACCTATTATTATTATTATTACCACTACGCACCTATTGTTAAATACTTCAATACTGTTTTTTGCTTTTTATATTTATTTGCAGTTCATATTGTATTCTTTTAATTTTTCTCAGTAAGTTTAATTAATAAAACCTACATGGCTATACATACCATTTTAATTCTTAAGACAAACTTGGTTTCTGAATTTTGGTTACATTTCTATTATTATGTGAACCTTGATCATCCTAGTATGAATGTAAAATGTTTTTAAGTTAAGAAATATTATGTGATTTTTTAAGTAGGTAGGTACCTAATAAGAATCGATAAAAATATAATCTTAGGATAAATTAAAAAACAATTTTCATTAATAACTTATTTAACGAATAGGAACGCATGTGGAATAAAAACGCGTAAGTTGTTGTAACATAATACTGTTTGAATAAATATACATTATAAATTATAATTTATATATTCGTATAATATTATACGACGAAAGTATATAATATAACATATGTTTGTATTGTAATTTAGAACAAATTGAGTCGACAAAAAAAAACTAATTATATGCCTGCTTGAATAGTGATACCTATGTAATATCAGACTGTTTTGAAAGAAGAAACCAGACAATTAGGTATTCATTAAAATATCATTCTTAAGTGTTTCAGTTCTTGTCTACACTCGAAGGTCGTAAATCAGACTCCTCTGACAGCCTGACACCGCCATTGTCCATCGATCAACCTAATATGTTGGGCGATGAGCTTACATATATAATTATGTACAGGAAAAAATGTATAAAATGTGATTCTCTCAAATCACGATCGTACACGCAGTTATAATAATATTATAATATAAAATATAATATACAACGCACAGTATTTCGGATTTGGACGATTGTGACATTCGAATCGAATATAACACAATTACGTTGGTTAGAGTGAATGGTCAATTATTATATTGTATAAGACTATCACACTGTAAAAACGTGTTTTATAAAGGAGCAGGGGCACCTTTCCTGATATTTTTATTGTTACCTATATAGTAAATATTATTATAACTTAGAAGGGTAACAATCTGTTTTATCGATTTTTATTATTTATTTATTTATTAATATGTATTACTTTTCGGAAAAATAATATTTTAGCAAAATCTAAAATAAAAAATAACGACATAACAATAAATGATAAGTATACTAATGAATATAACTAATTAGATAGTTATAGTTTAGACAATGGATTGTATAATATTATGGAATATCCCGATTGTCAATGTTATGTACACCTTTTTGATTACGGTTACTCCGTTGTTCCTTGTGTATCCACTATATTTTGGTTTACCCATAATAATCTATCTTTTCCTTCCACCGAAAAATGTCGGGGAAATAGTTTTGTGCTTGACAACGGTCTGTCGTATGGCTACGCCCAAGTGCCTGACTACTTATAAACAATTTATAAACATAATTGAACACACAACAGGTGCAAAATGTGTTCGTTCGGAATAACAAACATGAGCCTTCCTCGACGTCCACCGTCCCCCCCAAAAACGGTAAAAAAATCGTTGTCTGTTCATCCGGCGTAGACTTTACGACGGCCATACTCCTGTAATATACCGGTAGTTAGGTATAACTGTGTAAGATATATACATTCATTGCTTATATTATTTTTTGAACACGGTGTGCATGTGCAAGAAGTTCGGTGAAAATAAAATAAATGGACACAGTAGTACATGACGTGTTGGCAAGGCATATGTGTGTATGCGGTAAGGGCGTGTAGTGAGCCATATCTCAGTGGCGGACAAGGGCTGCAATTCGTTTACGACTGAAATCGCCTCATTCGACACTCGTATTATTATTTTTTTTGTCGCGCCACTGAAAACGCCTCTTTATCGACGTTATACGACGACAATCCGCACTGTAGTGATGTTCTCGCCTTTCTCGGCACCTGTCTACTATTTGGATTTGCCTGCAAACTGTCTCGAAGAACAGCACAGTAGTGACCCGGTCTAGTAACAGTGGTAGTATTTGATATTATATGGTATATTATACAAACCGTATCGATGCGCGTCCGCGTGCGTATTGGTCTAATTAGGACGCGTGGTGGCGGCAGATTTCCACCAATTTTCCGGAAAAAACCATTATTTACCGTCCCCGCTTCGAACCGAACACTCTCGGGGCAGAAATGAAAAAATGTGTAAGTCACCGCACCTGACGAATACAAAATAATATAGATCATTGCTCCAGTGCACCCTGCAGCATACTGTATACCGAACGAGTGCATTAACGGGGTCGGAACACTGCAGCGGACGACGACATATTATGCGCAACGCGTCTTACCCACACACAAACACATATTGGCGAACGCGAATTTATCGAGCCGTACGCATTAATATTAATTAATAATAATCGTCGAACGCCCTACATACTATTATGTGCGGAGTGGCGGCGGCGGCGGCGGCGGCGGCGGACGTTCGCGCCGGACCGGTTTTCACGGTGACCTTATAATAAACGTCGCGCGCGGGTAGAGGCCGCCGCCGCCGAAGATATCAGGTGCCGCCGCCGTCGCTCGATGATAATGCTCGCTGGCGTGACGACGGTCCAGTCGTATCGCAGATTCCGTTACGGCGCCGACCAGGACGTGTTGTTCGTATTGTACAGCGTGCGCGTGCTTGCGTGTGATCGTCGTGCGTGTTCTCGTGTGTGCGTGGTCCGTGCGCGTTTTAAGAAGAAAAACGCATCCCCCGTCGTCATGATCGCCGCGACGGCGGCGGCTGCGCACTGTTGCGACGGCGAAGAACTGCGCGTTCCCGGTTCGCCGCAACCGTACGCTCGTCGAGTTCGCGGGTCTTGGCGTGATTATTTGGAACCGCCCGGCGACGGTGTCGATATCGTCCGCGATCCGTACGTCTACCACGACGACTCGTACGACGACAACGAAGACGACGACGACGACGACGACTTAGACGAAGAGGAGGAAGACTCCTACGACGATTCGTACGACGACGAGGAGGACGGAGACGAAGACTGTTCTTGCTGTTCGTTGTGTTCCTCGGGCGGCGGTGGACGCCGCGGACGGGACACGCCGCCTACGTCGTCCCGATCCTCCTCGTCGTCGACGTCATCGTCGTCGTCGTCTACCGGTTCGTCCCAGGCTGCTAAAGCTGCGGCCAATATTACTTCTCCGGCGTCGCCGCAGCCACCGACGCTAAGACACCTGTCGCCGGTTTTCGAACCGTCCATGCGCGGCTCGTGCCGGTGCATACGGTGCCAAAAGCGCCGTTACTCGTTGGACTTTTTCAAGAGCTCCGACTTCAGGCGAGGCATACCGTCTCCCAACGTGTACATGATCGACGAACGGTCGTGCAAAATCGTCCACGATTACATTCACGGTAACCAAACCATTATATTATGATATTATATTATAGTTAAGTCCGATTAGCTGATATTTTCCTTTTATTTTATGAGCTTGTAAAGTGTATTACGAATCCGTTTGGTGAGTGGACATCAACGATTGTATAATCATAATAATTTTCAATCAAATTTGATTGTAATCCACGAGATAAAAGAAGAGAAAATTTAAATTATTACTATTTTGAGTAAACCTTAGAAAACATTTGTTGAATATTATATAGTAGTATGATTATTCTTGCGTGACATGGGTCATTTGTAACGATTACCGTCTGAACCAGTACCTTAAATCCAACAGGCTAAATTCAATATGAAGTCAGTTGAGTGTTGGATGGTTTGCTATAGTGTATTATAACTTATAACCTTAAATTCAAAATGTATGCAGACGTAGTTAATATATTACATCCATACATTAGCAATACATTAAATTTTTCATTCAAACGTCAACAGTATTAATTTTAGATTTTTAATATCGTCGCACTGCACAACTTCAACCACAACTCTTTAGGAACTCGCGAGAGTTGACTAAAAAAACAGTTTTATCTAGAATAATAAGTTTTATGATCGGTCAGAAGACGCCACAGCTTTTCCCCTTTGAGAATGACGAACGGATAATATCGCAAGGCTAGTGAGCAACGTAAATCATACGTACTTGTCCGTGGCATCAATTCGGTGATCGAAGTATTTTCCGTCGACTGTCAATGTTCAGAAAAACTCGATTGTCGTCGAAAAATGTCCATACGTACCCGTCCTGCCGAACAACGCGTTGTCCCGTGTTTGATGGTAATACTGTGATTAGGTTATATGATAAAATTGATGCTGGACGATTCTTGTAATAAATATATTTGTGAACCACATAATCATTTCCGGTCCGGGAAATTCGTAATCTTCCAGAAGTTAAGTTAAAAGACGTACTTACATCATGCCTACTATTTAACGACATTCATGGTTCTCTTGTAGGATATACTAAAGTTTCTCACACGCTTCTACGACCGTTATACGGGTAAAATGTACATTATGATTTATTATATCGATTTCGGCGTAATTATGTATTTTACGTCTAAAGAATAATTTGGAAAATCGAAGTTTAACCATGTAAAATATAGTTACCTTTTTTATTTAATATATTATGCTACGTCCGTCGATTTAAAAAGGTAGGTATAAATTAGGTATGTCGAATAAAAAATAATTTAAATTATATAAAAAAGATCTGAACGCACTTAATAATATCATTCTATTAGTACGTACAAAATGCGAACAACAAAATGTAATATCGATCGTTACAGTGAAAATCACAACAATTACTAATAACAATAAGTAATGGCCAATATACTATATAGGTATACATAATATAAGTAATACGTGCGTAATACTGCGCTATAGCGGTTTGACACAAAATGACAGTTGTATCAGTTAAATCAGTGAAAGTATTTTAATTTATTGTTATTAACCTGTAACTGCGATATTAATACAATTAAATTATAATATACCAAAAAATCGAACCCTCCAAAGCACACTAATATATTGATTGAAGTTCTTGGTAATTTTGTCATGGTCCACTTATAACTTATGAACTCCATATTTGTGCAATCATCTGGAGTCCTTTTAAAATTCGATGGTTATGTTATAGCCAGATAGGCATTGTATAGCATTAACTATTATTATTTATTATTAGTATATAGGTTGCGTTTAGATGACGTGAATCGTTTTTACAATTGTTTTCAATTTAAACAATATATTATGTAGGTATATTAAATTAAGTAAATACATTGGTACCTAATCGGTAATCACGCGTGTACCACATACCTACTATTATATTGTGTTTTCACAAAGTTTATTAACGTCATTTGGTTTCTTTTATTTTTAATACACCCAACGATGTACGCATAGTGCATACAAAATATGCTAGACACTAGTTTGCCTTAAATTACTACGGCGAGTTTGTCAACATTGTAAGGTTGTTTTTTTTACACTTTAATTTCCACAGTCTTAGTTTAGCTACCATAATTTCATCTCGAATACTTACGTTCTTATACGTATAACGGTCCGTTTTTAACGAGTTTCATTATTATTATTTTTATAGCTCGTTTTACACTGTGTCTTACACTCTTACGTATTATGTTGTTTACTTTTCAAGCGATAGAATTCTAAGCGTAAAACATAAAAGCAATAAAGTATTACATACAAAAAAATGTTAATTTGTTTCTACTTTATTAAACAGTGGTGTTATTTATGACAATATTTTATGCTCCAAAAACGTAAAAATATATAAGATAATTTCGTATTTGTTTACACTTTTACAGACGATTTTGTTAGTTATAAAATAAAAATGTACAAAAGCCATATTTAGTTACAGTATATATCCAGGAATTAATAATTCACTGCAAATATTCGTTGTATAACTGTTACGGTATAGTATTTCATAACAGCATTCGAATTAAAAATTTGCTACATCGAGTTTAAATAAAGTTTAGGTACCTTTGGCTTATTTTTATTTTATGGGTTTTTAGCCAAACTGCTTTGAAGGTCTATTGTATTTAATAGTGTATTCCATACGTAAACATATTCTTCTCAAGGGTTCGAGCGAGTGTTGTAAATCCTGTAATGTTTTATTATGCTAATAAGTTTAATTTTAAACTAGTTTTAACTTGTAATACATGCCGTGACCGTAGCTATTAAGAGAAAAAACGGAAAGCAATTAGGGCCCCGAGGGTAATTGAGGGTTAATTTAACTCAATTTCCTTGCTTCTGTTTTTAACCTGAAATGAGAATTCTTTGTCTACAAGTTAAAAATAAAAATTGAAAACAAATTAGTGTGTGTGTATGTGTTTAAGTAAGAATAACGTTTCGCTAATAAAAATTGAAAAAAAAATAATAATAAATATAATGAAAAAGTATATAATACCATACGTTCAATAAAATGGTTTACCACGCGTATTGTAAGAGAGTGAACCACCAGAGGTCTAGAATTTTAGGTCACAGAATTTGAATTTTAAAATTATATGTTTGAATATGTTCTATATACATTTCTAAATATGTGTCTAATAATATTATGATTTAAAAATTATTGCTCTCGGGTTACGTACGTTACATTGGCACGTCGCCTCCACCGCGTGACCATAGACTAAAATATACACACTGCAGCATACCTATAATGTATATTTTTTAATCTGTAAGCAAACGATTTAACTGTTTTAAAGCGCTTTCCGTTCAGACGCTATAGCTCACATATCATTACAACGACGACAATCGGTTAATGTCGTATTTATGTACACAACGGGCCCGGGTCGTATAGGGCGTTTAGACCATGTAAATACATATATATATATAAATATATACATAAAGTAATAATATACACTGTGGCTGTAATTATAAATATAGAGACTTAACCCGAGTCGTGAATCGGTTATTAGCATAATAATAACAATAAATACTTCGAAGGAGAGGAAAGAAAAATATGTATTACACATATTATTAACGGGTCGGGTATTACGGAGAGACGGAGCGCGGATGGGCTTATAATAATAATAATAATAATGAGACGAGAGAAAGAGAAACGACGACGACGATGACGACGAGTGCAGTAGCCATCGTGAGCTCGCACAATGGATGTGTGTGTGTGTGTGTGTGTGTGTGTGTGTGTGTGTGTGTGTGTGTATAAATTATGCAAGAATCCCCATCAGGGAGAACATGCGAATTTATTACTATAACGTCCATCAACCGGTTCTGCGAAGGGCCGGGCCGGATGATCTGATTTAAACTGCGTATGTTTGCTTGCAGCGCAAAATCGTAACCTGCGTGTCCAGGGCATGAAAATAATAATATTATATTATTATCGTCGTCGTCGTCTTCGTCGTCGCCTTCGTTGCCGTGTGAAACGGAACCTTTTCGACTTTTCCACAATATTCGAGGGTGCGGTACACTGGGAAAAATTGATCGTCAGGAAACGACAACCACGCGTCGAATACAGGTGGTGGGATATTGTTTAGGCACTAACGCTACTTAATTGTTTGCTGTATTATTCAATTATCATTGTTGTTGATATTATTATTTTTGGGCATATAATATAGTAACAGTAAACATTGCGACGCGAACGTCGAAAACTCGAACCTGGCGTGTCCCAAACCTCAAAGATTCTATTGTATTTTTTTCCAATCCTTTCATTGTTGACTTTGTGTTTTACAATTTTACGTACCAGGAATTACGATAGATTGCCTAATAAGTATATACGACCAATCGCAATATTGCATACAAATTATTTCTCAGTATTTGCTTTCAAACAAAACGGTTTTGGTTTTCTACATGAATATAATATTGTGTACCTACTACCTATGCTACCTATACATATTATAATTGTATTCATAAAACACTTTACAATAAGTATGCATAAATCGAAATTCGAACGAGCTGTTTCTGAGTTTTTAGCTTTAAATACTTAGTATATACGTAGGTTTATGTTCAAGCACATCGCTAGAACACAAGCAAGTAATGCGTTGTTTTAGTGTGGCATACAGTTTTAAAGCAATTGAAGGAGCAAAAATTAAATAAATATCGGTAAAGAAAATCGACTTTTAAATTTTCACTTTAGGCGGAAAATATCTAACAACGGGAATGTCTATGGTAAGAGATTTAGAGATATGGTCATGATGATTTTAAAATTATAGTAATTATTAATAATATAGCACAATTTTATAATTTGCAAAACTTATCCACTTATCCTAGTATATAATAAAAATCAGACCAAATATTAGATAACCACATCTATTTTTTATTTTGTGTAGAACTATCACCATTAAATAACTATATTAAGTATATTAATAATACTATATTAAGTACTCTACACTATTTGTTTATTTTTAGTAGATATATGGAGTTGCATAAGACAGTAACTAAGATTGAATTTCGGTTTTGACGAGACCAGATTTTCAAAAAAAAACACCTGATTCACAAATGTCCAATAAAAAAGAATGCGGTTATCATT